GGGCCCTTCTCCTCCTCCTCCCTCACGGCCAGGCGGGGCTCTCCCAAGGCTTAGCACAGAAAGACCAAACCGTAGCCTGCGGGTACGGTTATTAAAACCTACCAGCAGCTGGAAGGCTTTCTGTCTGAAGGAGCATATTACAGGCAGTGGAAACAAATGCAGTGAACTGGGGAACGTCACCCCGTAAATACCGGTTTCTGCTACACAGGTTACCAATCATAAATATACGTGTTACTTTTACAAGGTGGGTTCTGGCCCTTACTCCTCCTTTTAAACACTGTGTAAAGTTTTTTAAATAAAATTTGCAAAACCGCTTAGCTGCCTAAAACAAACCCTCAAACCCATAAAATTTAGAGCGTTTAAAAAAGCAGAGACAAGCACTAACCTCCTCCTCAGCATATTTCATGCAAGTGACCCCTGTGTGACAATGCCCATGATCAGTGCCAGATGAAATTTAAAATTGACATGTTTTTGATGAACCTAGTTGCCTCCTACTGTGAAGGATTCTTCTATTGAAAGTTACTGTGTGGGTTACCTGTATGTTCACCATAAATACATTAAGTGGAGAGTGAATCCCATTCAAACTTCTCCTGATGGGACTGTCCCTGTCCCCCCACCTCCCCAAGTGCACCCTGCCATTAAAAATGTTAGTATTTGGGGGTATGTCTCACATCAGTGCCCTTACTCGCACAAGCCCCTACCTTTATACATTTTACAACCAGTATTGCTCATATTTGTGTGTCTGCAGCAATACATGAAAAAGGAAAATGAGCCCATTACACCAGCATCATCCAAAAAGTCTGTATTTTCCAAGAGAACTTTTACCAGTAACATCATCATTACAGACCACTCCATAAAAACTACCCAAACAAGTGACATTTTTATTGGCGAGTTCTGCTAATGAACTTCCTTTTCCACGCTCGTATCTCCTAACAGATTGGATTTCAAAAAACAAAAACAAACAAAAAAACATTTCGGGTAACATTCCATTTGCAAACAAAATTATTTAACATTTAAAAAGAAAACAAAGGATAGCAATTTAAAATACAAATTCTAGGAAAACCCATCCTGGTTCCCCCAGGAGCCGTTCCTCGCCAGGCTGCCACCACCTCGGCTCCGCTCTGAATCAGCGGGCTGCGTACAGAGGCTCTCCTGGTTGGAGCTCAATTAAGAGGACCGGGGCATGTGCTATTATTACCATTCAAAGCCCTGTTGTCGTACAGTCTTCACAGGAAAACATAAACCAGTCTGCAGTAAACCAACCAGTACTTTTTCTTCCCTTATTCTAAAGCTAAGTCATACTGAAAGTTAAGGGGAAAAAAACGTGGCTTCAACATTCAGCTACTTTATCACACACAAAGATTTCTACTAAGAGCATATCCAGGTTGAAATACACATCTGATTTCTGTCATGAGGTTAATGCTTATGGGGTGCAAGATGCAATCTACTTCAAAATAATACACACATCACTTCTTGATGAGCAAAATATTATTTTTAGCCTTTTGGACGAATGCTTAGTTGCTCGGCTGTTTCTCCTCAATCTTGCCAGGAGAGAGAGCCTTCACCGCTACCACAAATAAAAAGATGACCAGTGGCAATCACACACACCTTATCATCAGTTAGTAAGATGTTGTATTTAGCACATTTGTTTGCATTCTGAAAAACCCTTAGTTTATTTTTTAGGCCCCAGAGGCTTTGTACACCAGAAATTACACAAGTCAACCACAGAAAATTGTAAATTGGTATCCACAGCGATTTTGAGGTATTCCACAAGAAACCTGGCTCTGCACCTGAATGTTCCTCTCAAAAACAAAACAAAACAAAAAAGGCAAAAGAACCCAAAGCCCTAGCTGGAGTGGAAATCTCATTTAAAAGAATCCTTTAATCCCCACGTTCCGCCACATTTGATCAACAAGGACATACTTATTTCCCCAGGGGCACCAAAAAAGCCTTCTTCATCGTTTTCCTGGAATATTAATTTCAGTATTTCATTCCTAAATTTCTGGGTACACTCAGAAGAGATGAAGAGAAAGGTGTTATTTTCTAGCCAAACCAGAGAAACACATTCAGACACTGTTTTTGGTTTATTTAATTTGTGAAGGTGCTCTAAGAAGATACCAGCGATCCCCTTAACATTGAAAATAGCAGCGGTTTATACTCTAAACTCCAGT